CCTTCTAGAAGGACTGCAGCTAGCCTTCTAGTCTATAGGTCTACGGATCGAATCCTGGCTACCTATAGATAGACCTACGACAGACCTACGACAGACCTACCTACCACTGGCGGTTCTACAGGTCGCAGGTTCAACTCTTCGAGTTGACGCTGGTATTGTACACAGGTAAGTTGGGAAACTAGGGATCGAGCCCTGGGATCTACCTCAGCTACCACGAATTGGTGAATACCGTTTCAATAGTGTGCCTTATCTCAGCCTTAACTGTATTTGTAATATCTGTGAAGGACATATGACAGTCCCGAAAAACCTGATCTTTACCATCCTTCCACAGAATTCCAAACACAATGCCTCTGATGACTTGAGCCACGTAACCCCATCCAGAGTTGGCGGCAAGCTCAATTGGGAGTATACCAGACAGCACCCAGTTCTCGTTCCAAGGAAAGATATCATCTGTAATGTCTCTCCAAAGCTTTTCCCACCATTTCCATACCCGAAGTGAGAAAGGGCACACATACCATAGATGACTTGTAAATCCCCATGCCCACCTGCACCGAGTACAAGTAGTGCTAATATCCATTCCTTTGGAGTTCTGCCACACCGCGGAGGCTGTAACCAGTAATGATTGCAGTAACAGTATACTAGCCTGCTTCTGAGAAGGCAGCGCTTTCGGCTGTTTCCAGTGAGTAAGCAAATCTTTTCTGGCTATTATCGGCATCGCTTGCTCCTCCCGTCTGCGAGTCACAATATCAATTGGTTTCTTCTTCACCTTCTGTCGAAGGAGATCGACCCCTCTCTTTGCTGAGTATCCGTTTAGTCCGAATGGCTTATGAGATGCAGACTCAATCCACCCTACTGATCCTGGGTGGAAGGCCAGTTCTTTCACCGTCCGTCCTCCAGCCAGCAGCTTAACTTGTGATCTCGTCGGATTGACTACAGTATTAGTCTGTCCATCCCTGTTCTTGGGTGTATCCTGTTGCCCTATCACTTCCACTATAACCTGGCTGGTACCATGAAGAGACCTTACCTGAGCAGTTTCTTTTAGGCATAGAAGTCTGTCAAAAGAGGTTTTATCCGTTGCTGTCCATACTTCTACTGAGTACCCTTGGCCATCGTGCTGGTCTATGACTTTCCAGTAGACTCCTGGCTCTGGAGCTTTCAACCAGCAATCAGAGCACCGTTTGGTGCGTAGGATAGATGACCAGGTATGTGGAAACGAATTTTGGATATCAGCCAGGCGTTCTTCAACTTTCCTTAGACAGCGCAGCTGAGTTCGAACTGCCGCTTCAGTACGCCAATCTTGCACGTCCATGTCCCACAGATCTCCTATTCTTACCACTCCCCTCTCTATCCATGCTTTCCCAAAGTTTCCGGGGGAGTCATGGGCCGAGAAGGGGAGACCATTCTGACCATTCGGACCACACAAAAGGTGGTTATCGAAAATTGGTTGCATTAAGACTTCTTCCCACGATTGGGGGGGGAATCATTAAGATGGGAGTATTTTAGCCCAGGCAGACAAGACATCACTCCAAAAACGGGACTTAGGCTTTTGGTTACTGTAGGTCTGAGAGAACAGGCAACTCCATACATCCGCTGGGTCTTTCAAGTGCCATTCTTCTGCCAGAATATACTCAGCTAACCAGATCCATGCATGTTTGTGTTCCGATGAGATCGCTTTAATGGGCCATTTGGCCAGCATTGCAATATTTTGGGATTTGGGATCTGGTATGCTAAATCCTCCCTGATCTCTGGGAAACCTGATCGTCTCCCATGCTACTTTGGATAAAAAGCCTTCGCCTTCTTCAGCTTCCGGTTTCCAGATGGATCTGGAGGCCGCCTTTCTAATCTTCTTATAAGCCTGATCTCCAAGTAGATGAACCTGTAGTGGGTACCATAACACCGAGAAGGCCGATGCCGCTATACCAAGGTAGCGATCTGAGGCATCAATAGGTATTCGGCTCATGCCCCAGTTCGCTTGCAGTTGGAATTGTGCCGGTAGAAAATATACAGACTTATTCAAATTAATTGAGGCCTCTGATAGACTAATATAGGCATCCAATGTCTTACGAACAGCATGCATCGATTCTTTATCATTCAAGCATGTTATAGTTTGATCATCTGCCAATGCCCCCCTTTTCGATTGATACTCCTTGTGAATTTCCAACCCTTTTGTCAATTCATTTGCTCTGATATTGTTCAGTAGTACTTCCACATGAAGCACTAAAAGGAGGGAGGCCAATGGGCAACCCTGCCGCAAGGAGCAGGATAGATTAAATTCTTCTGATAATTGATTATTAACCAGCACCCTTGCAGTTGAAGTAGAATACATAACTGAAATCCATTTGCAAAAATTCGGGCCGAAGCCCATGTGCATCAGGGTTGTTTCCATAAAAGCCCAGCCTACTTTATCGTAGGCTTTCTCCATGTCAATAA